CAATTCAGAGACGTGATATAACATGTGATCTAATAGCAATTCAGAGACATGATATAACATATGATCTAATAGCAATTCAGAGACGTGATATAACATATGATCTAATAGGAATTCAGAGACGTGATATAACATATGATCTAATAACAATTCAGAGATGTGATATAACATATGATCTAATAGCAATCATTGGCGTGATATAACATATGATCTAATAGCAATCATTGGCATGATATAACATATGATCTCATAGCAATTCAGAGACGTAATATAACATATGATCTAATAGCAATTCAGAGACGTGATATAACATATGATCTAATAGCAATCATTGGCGTGATATAACATATGATCTAATAGCAATTCAGAGACGTGATTTAACATATGATCTAATAGCAATTCAGAGACGTGATATAACATGTGATCTAATAGCAATCATTGGCGTGATATAACATATGATCTAATAGCAATTCAGAGACGCGATATAACATATGATCTAATAGCAATTCAGAGACGTGATATAACATATGATCTAATAGCAATTCAGAGACGCGATATAACATATGATCTAATAGCAATCATTGGCGTGATATAACATATGATCTCATAGCAATTCAGAGACGTAATATAACATATGATCTAATAGCAATTCAGAGACATGATATAACATATGATCTAATAACAATTCAGAGATATAACATATGATCTAATAGCAAGTCATTGACGTGATACAACATATGATCTAATAGCAATTCAGAGACGCGATATAACATATGATCTAATAGCAATCATTGGCGTGATATAACATATGATCTAATAGCAATTCATTGGCGTGATATAACATATGATCTAATAGCAAGTCATTGACGTGATATAACATGTGATCTAATAGCAATTCAGAGACGTGATATAACATATGATCTAATAACAATTCAGAGATATAACATATGATCTAATAGCAAGTCATTGACGTGATATAACATATGATCTAATAACAATTCAGAGATATAACATATGATCTAATAGCAAGTCATTGACGTGATATAACATATGATCTAATAACAATTCAGAGATATAACATATGATCTAATAGCAAGTCATTGACGTGATACAACATATGATCTAATAGCAATTCAGAGACGTGATATAACATATGATCTAAATGTAATTAAAGAGGTGTGATACAACATATTTAATAGCCATTCAGGGACGTGATACAACGTATGATGTAATAGCAATTTAGAAACACAATATAACGTACAACAACATGTCAGAGAATGGGCTAATGAAAGATATCAAATTTGGATTATGAGACTAATATCAATATGTGAATTCAGCAAATAACTTACTGTATCAGAGGTGGAGATAATGTTTAAATATTTAGTAAGAAATTCAGAGACTGTGCACACATTTAACAAGCATTCAAAACTAGCTATCCCCCATTTCACCTGCTGCATTATTAGTGGCTATTTGTCGCCTTCTCCTTGTCCAACTATATATCAAGGTATATATACACACACACACACACACACACACACACACACACACCATTATATTATATATACACACACACACACACACACCATTATATTATATATACACACACACACA